CCGTTTCTTGACGGGCCCGGGAATCGGCACCTTCGTGTTTGTAGTTAGTGTCCATACAACAACCTACCACCTCCTCTCCAATACTCACCTACAATTTCGAAAATATTCAGCGCAATGCCCAAACTCTCCTAAAGTACCTACTCATCAACAGACTGATTTAATAGTCCTTAAACATTTCCGAAAGTTTACATAGGATTTGACAAGTCATATTTATTTAAAAAAATGTTTCAAACCCCACTCGCGGGTGTTGCCGCGTAACACAACTGTAAATGATGAGTAACGGGGAAATATAGACCATAGCAGCTATCAATTAGCGAAAACCCGAGGTCTGTAGGTGGCCCGAGGGCCGAGATCTCGATGGAACAGGCAGATAGATAGACGACGGAAAATTGAGCACATAAACGTTAAAAATCACTATCTAAACCTCCAATTAAACCCACTGTCATACTACTACTATAGTTCGCTTTGTTTTTGAAATAAACTTTGGTTTTATGTCAAATTTTATGTACACTAAAATTCTAAAAAATTCTAGAAAAATCCGGAAAAATCTAACATTGTATACAATAATAATTATGTGTGCATATGCGTTCGAAAAAAAAATTAGAAAATTCAATGAAAAGTTCAAAAACATTTCTAGAAGATTCGAAAAAAAATTCTAGAAAATTATAAAAACATTATAATATCTTAAAAATTCCAAAATGATTTTCCCTCCGGGATAATGGTACCTGATGTTCTAGGCACTACTTGTAACAATTTTATTTAAAAAATATGTTAAGTACATGCGCATCCCTAAACACGCGTCGATATAAAAAATTATCAAAGTCCTCGTGTGAGATCGAAGGGACTTCAGCGCATTTTTGTGTGGCAGATCAGTATTCTATTAGCCACTTTTTACTCAACCATGAATAAAAGATCTTGTCGAAGGATACCACGTTCCCTTTGACGGTACCCACTTCCGATGTCCCGTTCACTCGCAATTCGCGTTTGAAGATTTAACTCCACCATCAGTAAGATCATGTCGGGAGCTACCACATTCCCTTTGACGGTACCCACTTCCGACGTCCCGTTCACCCGCAATTCGCGTTTGAAGATTTTTCTCCACCATCAGTTAGATCTGGTCGGAGGCTACCACATTTCCTTTTTCGGTGCATACTTATATTACACCCACATTTTGGTGGATCTCGCTAAAAACCTTCCACAAGATAGTACTTAATTTTTGGTGGGCACTTCTCATTGCTCGAGCTTCTATTGGCGACACGAGAAAGAGAGACAACCATTCGAGATTTACGAAACGTTAAAACGCGTAACAGAATTCGCAACGGAAGGTAAAAGGTACCCGAAGTTGACTACCTCTCGAAGACGCGCGCGCGCGCCTTGCAAAAGGTCGTTAATTTCGCCCCTAGGCCAAAAAACAAAATTCCGCCACGCAGGAGTTGTGCGCGTTTACAACATCTTTCCGACGACACCAATTTGAAAAGAATCGGACCAAAACTGTAGTAGAAGATAGGAAAAAACTGAAAAACCTTCACGTTAGTATACTACGCTCGAGGATGACGCCCAGATGTCGCCAACCCCACATCATGTAGCCCTGTCCCCAAGGTTTACAAATTACACGGCCTTGTAGATACACCTACACCCGTTGCCTTTCTACAAGAGTTCTTCTACGCGCCCACATTTGCTGCCAGCCAGCCGACCAGCCAGCCAGCCAGCCAGCCAAAGTGAGATTAAAAGCTACTTTTTACAAATAAATTTGCAAAAATGCGCTAAAAATGTATTCAATACAAATATAAAGCAATCGCTAAGAGCTACCAAATTTGTTAGTATGGGTCAATTTGTTCAGGATTATAGTGGTCAAATCAGCAAAATCGTTTAGTGATCGAAATAGACCAATTTGTACAGGGACTGAGATATCACCTAAAAACCAAAAATGTCAAGTATTGTTTTTTTCCCTAGCGCGGTATAGAAATTCTGATAACAAATTAAGATTCTCCGAAAAAAAGTCCCCATAGAAGCCCAATGTGCAAAACCCTGTCAACAATTTATACACAGTGCCGAAGTTCTCCTTTTTTTGAGCTTTTACACTGAAAAATAAGAGCATTTTATAACTTCATTTGTCATGCGGTATAGAAATTCTGATAACAAATTAAGATTCTCCGAAAAAAAGTCCCCATAGAAGCCCAATGTGTAAAACCTGTCAACAATTTATACACAGTGCCGAAGTTCTTCTCCTTTTTTGAGCTTTTACACTGAAAAATAAAAGCACTTCATTTGTCATCGCTATATGTAGGTACCTACCTATACTTATCTGAAATGAAAAGATTTTTGGAAAAAATGGATCTACAAAATTTGAACAGCCCTTGTAACGTTTTTAAGTATTAGTTTGCTTTGGTTTAGCTGGGTTTGGCACGAATTAATTCGAGAATGAATTCATATGAATAAGAACAAATTGCATTATCATACCTACTACGAATTCAAATACTGATTATGGCAACCGAAAGCGAGTAGCAATACACATCTGACAATCGTGCAGCGTGTAAAACAAATAAACTGCACCGTGCGATTGTGTTGGGGAGAGTCAAAAAGTGTGTACAACGTTTTTTCAGTTTTTCCTTCTTTTTGAGGTTCTTTCGATGGTTCTTTTACATTGAACACTTTCGCCTAAAATCAATAGTTTTGCCACAAATTGCAAAATACCACTTTCAACCCCACGGATTTCGGCCGCGAAAAAATTCAGCTATTTTAATTATTTTCCCCCAGTTCTTAATCATTTCACCTGCATAAAAAAACCGGTTTGGATCGAGACCTAATTTTTTGTCAAGAAATATTATAGGTATATACCTAGCCTAGACCGAGGCCTAGACTAAAAGTTACTTTATTAACGTGTGAGAAATTAGTGAACAAAAAAAGAAAAAAGATTTGATTTGGAAATATATTGAGGAGTGCAATAAACGAAATTCAACCAATAAAAAGGCAGTATGCAAAGCATGTATGAAAACATTGCAAAAACACAAAAGGAGTTGTAAGAATTTTCCTGAACAGGCAAATACATACGGTTTACGGTCCTTATTTATTATTTTTCAATTCAGGAAACCAGAAAAAATAAGTCAATTAGAATTTAGTATTCGCGCGTGAAAATCGAATTTTTGTTTCAATATTTTCACAGCAAGAGTGATTTTTACTAAAATCTTTCGTGCCGTGAAATTATCGAAACAAAAATTAGATTTATTATTAGAATTATACCTAATTTACAATTTTCTTAATTTCTCAGATTTCCCACAACAAAAAATTATGTACAAATTGGCACATGAATAGACGCAGAATTTTACAATCTATCAAAAATTTATTTACAACTTGGCTGTAAAATAATTATTTTAGGGGAGAAAATATTTCAATATAAAGAAATTACCTACCTCGGAAATTACCATTGAAATCCCTATGTATACTATCTGTTGTTTTAGATTTTAGTTTTCCAGAATTTACTAAATCGTCCACGTGTGTGATTTGACTGATTTGTGATTTTTTTTATTTTTACTGTACTTTTCTGTTTTCTTTTTTGACATTTTTTATGATACTGGCTAAATGCTATGTGTCTCAGTGGTAGAGCGTTGGGAAGGTCGGGTGTTGTAACCTGGGCTGAGGTGAGAATGTTTCTCGGAATGTTTCATCTGTGGCAGAGATGGGAATTTCTTAGATCAGTTTCGAACATGCTGCCGACGACTCTGAATTAGGTTTTCCTACAGTTTTCCTAACTCGTAAAGTAAATACCGGAGTAGTAATAGAACAACCTCGAGAACAACTTAAGACCTTCTGCACCTCTAAAAGGCAATATGCGGATCACTCTGTAATTGGGAGCCTGTTGAGGACCCAGAACAAGAGAGAGACAATAAATAAATAAATCAAAGATAAATGTTGCAGTGGGTGTACAAATCTTCGCTTCTTGCCAAGAACCTGTACAGTAACATTTTTATCTTTGATTTTGTCAATAGAATTTAAGCAACTTGTGAAAGAGCTTATTGTCCCACTCCAAAAGAAACAGTTTAATAAATACAATTGTAATCTTTGACCTTATTATGAACTAAGTCATTATATCTTACTGTATAGGTACCTACAGTATGAAATAGACCAACGATCGTTTAGTTTAAAACGCGGTTTAAAAATCATCAATTAATCGGTGCCTACGATATTTGTACAGTCATTCTGTTCTCCCCGTCATGCACTTTGTGTTTTCTTGCGTTGAGAAAGGAACGATGATTTTCGGAAAAGAAGGTTTTATACCTGAAATTTTACGGAATTATAAAATATAGTTGTAGTCCTCAAGAGATTTGATTTTTGAACTGCCTGTAATCATTATACCTACTTACCGGCGCATTGTAGCGAGCTTCTCTTTTCTATTGTTAACCAAATTTGACCCATATTGTACGTTTCGCTAACAATAAGGCATTCAAAAATACCGCTAATAATGCGCCTCTGTAGTCTGTATACGGAATTTTGAGATATTGTCTATTTTTACGTTCAACATTCATCACTAGTCAGGTACATTGGTCTTTCTTTTGTTGGTCAAAATCGATTTTTGTAATTTATTACCGAAAGAAAAAAGGTTTTCGGTGGCGAAGACCATTGTATTAAGAATTAATTGATAATTAATTATTATGTACCGCCTAATTTAGATTCTTTGGAGAAATCCGGGAAGCTCCCTGGTTTTTTCGTGTTTGGTCTTCAATTTGTCTTACCAGTTAGGTATTGTGATAGAGCATATTGTGGAAATGTAATGCAGTATACCTACAGGCGCTCTCGTTCTGCTACGTATTTTCAAGAAGAGCGTGTAATAAATCTCTTCATTCATTTTTCAAGAAAATCACTCCTGATTAACGTACACAAAGTAGGCAACATTGCGAACTTTCCGTAAAAAATTGATCAGTTTTGATTAGGTCGTGTGGTTGTGCTTGTGTTGTATTAATAAACAGTCTTAATAATATTACTAAATTTAATTTTTGTTACAGAGCTATCGAGGGCGGAAACCGAGCGGCTCAGTAACGATACCTTCCAGTGCACCGGCTCCAGAACCTAGCGTACCTCCTCCTTCAAGACCTAGTCCTCAACCTGTTCACATGTTGAAACCAGAACAAACAACGCAACAACAGCAGCAACCAATGGTAAGGTTATTTTCGTGCACCTAAATTACAAAAAAAATATCGAGGAAATTATTTATTGTTAAAATGTGGAATAGTAGTTACTGCCCTTTGCTATGTTTGCATGATAAAACGTATCATGAATGTGCGAGAGGGAAAATGATGGCAGGTTCGTCCAGATAGCGAGATATTCGACTAGCTGTAGTGCAGCAAATGTTATTATTTTTCCAATTTTTTTCATTGAAATTCCGAAGATAATGACGCATACTTTCATTTAAGTAAACCGCGTAGTTTCATGGGAATGTTTTTATTATATCTTGGTTTCTATTTATGTATAAAGGGTGACATTCTAGAAGGTGTTTTTCTTTTTATAAGGGGTATATTAAATTGCTTAGGTTAGTTTTGTAGGCGCTTCCTGCCCTAAAATGACCTCGACTATAACAAATATTAATTCCTCCCCCCTTCTAATTGTGACACGTTGTAAATAAGTCTCTGCAAAATTCTTTCTAAAAATACTAGGAAAAATCTCCTTGCCATTTTTAATTTATGTAGATAACAAAAATGCAGTCGTGTATGCCAGATGTGCCGATTTCAAAATATGTAGCTACATAAATAAAATAGGTGCACATTACGTTTTGTAAAACAATACCTTTACATGTCACAGATGAATATACGGCTTTATAATATATCTCCTGCTCTAGCAACTACGAGAGCAACTATTGTGCGCTTTCACATTCCAAATAAACGTTGAGGTACTTTTCCACACATTTCCATCTTAATTTCAGTATCAATGAAAATTTTGTATTCTGTTTGTCCAAATTTCCGGTGCCTTTAAGTATCTATTTGTTTGCCAAATTGTAGTTGATGGGGTTGAAGTAAGTCGCATCACTCGCATCGGAAGAAAACAAGCGAATCAAGACGCCTGTTAGTCTCCAACAGTAGCAAAAGGTACTTCGACAATTACTTCAAGTACAAATATTTGTTGACATTGCGCAGTTTGCGCATGCGCGTATTTAATTTAAACTATATGCGATATGTTTGTCTTTACTAGGAGCGTCTATGGTTAAAACTTCAAAGAAATTTATATAAATAAGAAATCTGCGCATCTGATTTTTTAAGACTGTTTGCAATATGTAAAAAATTGACGTTGAGCAGTTGCGCATGCATTTATGTGATTTTTACTATATGCGGTATGTTTTCCTTTATTAATATCTCCGTAAATAAAAAAAAATTGTGACAGACCTATAAACTACCGAATACAAAGAGAATGAACTAAACATTGGTAAGATATTACAGAGATTGTAACTACATGATTTTCTGTAAAAGAAAATCTTGCTACCATTTTAGAAAATTGTGCGCATAGTCAGAGGTTTAGGAACTAAACTTGGGGGGGGGGGGGGGGGGCAAAAATGATTTGCGGCATAAAACTACATAAAACTGTACGGAAAATTTTTTATTTTCAAATTCGCAAAAACCTAGGATAGATATCAAGTCGAGTTTAGAATTTTTTTGCACCATCTAGTAATAGGAATTTTAGAAATTAAAACAATCTGAAAATTCTCTGCTGTGATTGGTCAGAATGAAATAGCGGAACAAACGTACATTTCGGCACTATTGCAGATGTAGCTCTCAAACGAAACATTTTGGAAAAAAATGTGCAATCCAATGATTCAATGATTTAGGGCATTCTTAATTAAAAAAATCTGCCATTGTATGCGATTTATATGCCTGTTCGCATCTACTTTTAAAATTTCGTATTTTCCTCCCTGTGTCAAAAAGTTTCATGAAATTGTCATAGTCATAGTTACTCCCGCCCTTACTTGCCATTCTATTAAAAATTTTGTTGATTATGAGAGCACATCTCTAAGGGATTTATCGTAAAGATCTCTCATGCCTAAAATTTATTTTATTTATAGTACCCAATGTTAACAGTAAGTACAAAAGAGCTGTGCATTTCTTGTGGATATTCTTACCGCTGTTAGTTTGTGCAAACGCTATCTCCTTTTACAGTTTTTATTTGAAATGAAAATGGTTCAGGACCAAAACAAACATTTGTTAAATACCAAACGTCCGATATGTTGGGGGGTTACGTTCTTCGAAGTAACTACCACGCCGCAATTGGTATAACTTCTCCAATTTTTTTTCTCACCAACGATAACGCATAGAAGGATGCAACTAACGACAAAAGACTAGGTTTTCGGGTATAACCCGACTCTTCTAAGGCACTGGTGCGGAAATCGTACCATGACAACATTAGAATAATTTTTTTAGATAACTTCTAGGTTGTTAGGTCAGGTTTTCATTCATTGTATTATTTTACGTCAATTTTTTTACTAAAATCAGTTGTGCTAAGACGCTTTTCCGTCTATTTTTTGATTTCCGTTTGCTTCACATTTGCTAAATATTCCATTTTTCTCTCGATTTTTCTTAAATCCACGTAGTTCACACGGAAGCACAAAATATCAAATGGAATTGAAAAATTTCAAAACAAAATCTGTAGATCTTTGGGCTTGAAAATTTCAGGAATGCGTTATATACACATCCAAACTCATATCTTGTTTGGATATGTAATAATGTTTCTTTTTTATTGTGATAAATAATGTAATTGTTTCTCATTCCAAAAATTAAAATTGCGCTGTATTGTTTGGATCTCACTCTGGATGGACCGATCACAGTGTACTTGTACATTGCCACTTTTGTGGTATATTTTGCTCACATATTAAAGAGCCAATATCTGGATTATTACAACATACAAAACTAATAATGTTTATTGTTTTCAGACACCAATGCCCTTCTACGCTGACCCAAATAGGTTTACAACACCTGTATGGCAAGCAGATCCTACACAAGGTATATTTTATTGCTAAAGGAGTAGTTTTGGTATTTTATTACGCATGAAAGATAAAAATTTATTGTCGTTTACGAAAGATCATTTTTCATTGGAATTTAGTTCAAATAAGTAGGTCAACTTGCATGATAAGTATGGATATACATAATATATGTGTTTTTTAATTTACAGGTTGGACGCAAGGGCAATTTATTCAACAAATCGCGGCTCCTGCTCAACCAGCTTTGGAAGGGTATCCGCAGCAATATTCCAATGGTATATACCAGACGACGTTTCAGCAGCCAGCCGGATTTGAGGCAAACACGTTTTATGCAGGCGCCGTGCAAGTACTAACGAGACCTCCGAGTGCGGCGAATCAAACGCAACAACTAACGCCTCGTCCCAACGGAAGCTATTCCCACACCCCTAGTCCTCAACCACAGCAAACAAACCAAAGAACTAACATATCTGGACAATATCAGCAAGACTATAATACGAATAATCAAAATTATGTAGCGCCCGCCACAACACCAACCGGTACAGTAGATAGTTCCCAGTCGGGAGTGTTATCGAGACCTAGTTCGGTAAATAGTACCGGGAATGTATCGGGAAATAGTCAGAACTTTCAAACGCAGCACGCCGGTAATTTTACGCCAAATTCCAGCTCAAACTTTAGTCCAGTTTCAAATACTTCCACAAGTTTTGTTAACAGTAATATGAGTACAAGTTCGGGAAACGCGATGCCTGGGTATCCTCCGGTGAGCAGCCACCCGCAGGCAGCTTCACACAACTATAGTGGTGGATACCCAGGCAACGAAAACAGCGGGCAGGTAAACTCAATAGAAAGCCCTCACAATGAAAGTAATCAGCATTGGTCACCAAGCTCTGATGGGAACTTATGGGAACAAAGTGTTATTCAACAAACTTGCAATAATCAAAGTGCCAAATCCGACCAGAATGGTATACAATACGCGCAAAATAGTGTTACACCTCAAAATGTAATTATTATTAAAACCGAACCAATAGATTTTATGCTTCAAAACGATCAGAAATCCAACGATGAACAAATTACTCATCAAATGCAAGCTGCCGTAGAGCAACAATTTTCACAAGCAGACCGGGTTAATTTAAACTCGAGGCTGAAAACGATGATTTTGCAGAAACAACAACAGCAGATAGAACACAAGTTGGAAGAAGCACAAAAGATTGAACAAAACAAGACCGGTCATTTTTTATTGTATAGCCACCATCGTCGCCCTATAATTTTAGGCGGCGGTGGTGGCGTACCGAAACCCTCGATCTTGACCAAGTTGAAACAGATACGGTACACTTCTCCGACAATCACCAACAGCCCCATCCAACAATATATTGAAAACGAAATCAAATCAAAACTAAAGACACCTACAAAAATCGTTTCTCCGGAGAGCACCGAATTCAAAGCATATCAGAAACCCGTTCAACCGAATGACCACACAATTCTTCCCAAAAAGATTGACAACACACCGAGAACTCCCAATGTGTATCCGAAACATTTTGTTGACTCCGAAAAACAAAAGCCGACTGTGGGCTTAGAAATACCGCCATGCAATTGTCTTCCTCCGAACCATTTCGTACCAGAACCTGGCGGTTATTACACGCATTTGGGTAATGGCAACATTGGTGTAATGTGCCTTCTTACTATCTTTTTTGGCATAGGTTGTTCCGACAGCTTACCCAGTTTACGGAAGGATCTCGAAGATCGAACGGGCGTGCAAGGAAGTGCCATTCGTATTGAGAAGGTGTGCTACACAGGAAAAGAGGGAAAAACACCACAAGGGTGTCCGATAGCTAAATGGGTAAGTGTATATTTTGAATCGATAGTAAAAAGATGTGTGCTTTCTCAGCAGTAAAAATTTAGAAATTACACTTCCCCCTTACATATAAGATTTACCGCCACTTGAGGCAAGTCTGGACACACCAATAATCAGATATGTATAAGGATTAATAGCAACATATTATTTGCAGATTATTCGACGAGCCAGCTATGAAGAGAAATATCTGATTATAGTTAAACAAAGACTGGGACATTGCTGTTTTGCGGCCATTATAGTCGTGTGTATTGTTGCATGGGATGGTGTCGTACGAGGAGATGCAGATACTATATACGACATGTTGCGTTATAAATTAAACAAATTTGGACTTCCAACTAACAGAAGGTGCGCCACGAACGATCCCCGCACGTGCGCCTGTCAAGGTTTAGACCCGGACAATTGCGGGGCCAGTTTCTCTTTCGGATGCTCTTGGAGTATGTATTACAACGGATGCAAATACGCGCGATCTAAAGTGATCAGGAAGTTTCGATTGAGCGTGAGGTCGGAGGAGGACGAAATCGAAGAACGCATGCAAAATTTAGCGACGTATCTAAGCCCCATGTATAAAAATCTGGCGCCTGACTCATTTCGAAATCAATGCGAGTTTGAAGATGTAGCGTCAGATTGTCGGTTGGGTTTGAAACCCGGGCGCCCGTTTTCTGGCGTGACTGCGTGTTTGGATTTCTGCGCACATTCACATAAAGATAGTCACAATATGAACAATGGATGTACAGTTGTGGTAACATTGACGAAGCACAGAGATCTTTCCAAACCGGAGGATGAGCAGCTGCATGTTTTGCCATTGTATGTTATTGATAGTACGGACGAATTTGGTTCAAGGGAGGAACAAGAAAGAAAAGTTGTTCATGGTAGCATTGAAGTTTTGCACAAGTAAGTTTCTAGGTAATATATTCATAGTATCGAATAGAAAATTTAGTCAACAATTGATGAAATTATCTGTTTCTGAAAATCCAATACAGTGTATTGAACGGTTTATAGATGTCATATTTGCACTTTACTTGAATACTTTTATTTCAATTTTCTCATTCCCATGGTCGTTCATTCTTAAATAGTCACATTTTAAATCCCCAGTAGTCCAGTAGATCTATGCATTGCTGTGTGCAGTGACATGCGGTGCCTACGACGCTCACAAAGTGTCTATCCAGGTAGCTCTCCCACAAGAAAAATACTTATATTGACCTAAATTTCTCAATATTGAGAGACTCGGTGGCGTCTCTGGGACGCATTTTGAATTCGAATAAACAGACAATGAAACAAAATTAAAACAAAATTTCCAAAAGGAAAAACACAACACCGACATACAAATGCAAATGGAACGAACTAACTTAGTTTTTATTTCGCATTTTTTATTCTCATATACAGAATGTTCCATTATTATTTTGGGTGACCAAAATAACGTCTACACGACCGTTGTTTATACAACAGTATACCTACCTAGACTTTTTAGATTGTAGGTTGTGTGATATAAAAGGTCCTTCTTGCTTTCCATTCTGGTGAAAAAGTTATACAATGCAGAGTGCATAAATAAAAATTCTAAGTTTTGATTTTGTTGAGCAAAATAAACTATCAAAGATGAAAGATTTATACCATAGGTTGCGAATGAAGGGAACGGATTTTATTTAAAACATAGTTTTAAATGAGAGTGCGCACAACTGTCTGAAGAGCAGCGATCGGCAGCGCCTTTTTCTGTTTCTTCGCATAAAGTAGAAATTAGAAACACATCTTCCTCATAAGAGGACACAATTCTTGAATGAAGATTAGGATAACAGATGACAGAGTGCCGCTACGCGTCGCTTTGGTGCAGCGCGCTCTATGTGCGTATAGGCACGGAAATGCGCTGCCGTGCGCTTCGCGCCGCTTCGTCTTCATGCGCCAATTTTGCTACACTTTGTATCCGCATCTCTCTTCGGATATGGCTGCTGTCGTATGAATTTTTGCATTGTCAAAACATGGAAATGGAAATCCACTAGGAAGATTTTACTTTCTTCATCGCAATGATGACAAACTGACATGATTAAAGTGAATTGTATTAAAACATTTCAATGATTAAAACACAACATAATCTCCTTACGCTGTTGTCACATTTGTTAATGAGTTTGGCAAGCATGTACTGTATGTCCAGAAACAGTAAGCACTATACTGCATGTGGAACTTGGAAGTGCGAGTCTTGGGCCACCTCCATTATAGGGCATTGAAGCATCCCAGCTAGCTTGACAATCTCTTCATTTCTGGAGATTGTTTGAGAAGGTTGTAGTAGTTGAAATTTTTCCATGCCGTAAATGAAGGGGATTACCGTTTGCTTTACATCTACCATTGCTGGAAGAGTGCGCCCAATAATACATAAAATATAAATTAAAAATTTGATCTTTTCGGCACGTATAGCACCCGTTGATGGTCTGACTTTTGCTCCTGGTTTGTTGTGGTTGTCGGTTTCCAGTGTGTAACGTTCTTAGTTGTTCCTCAGCAGACTTTGAAAATGTTGACTTACCCTGTACTTACAGTTGGCAACTCTCCGGAACAAATACATGCAGCGCCATCTAACTTTCGTTGTCAAAATCTCTGACGTTTCGCGCCACTTTCAAATTTCAGTAGCATTCCTACGTTGTCTGTTTACTATGGCGGTCTTTTATGTGTTGGAATGCAAGACATAATCGGGAAGGGAAATAAATAAAAGGCAAAATTTTTTAGCGTCCGAAGGGAATAAGAAAAATAGTATAACACAAGAAATAAATAAACCACAGCAAAAAAGTACAAACAGAAATACGAAAATAAACATAAAAAAAGAAACATACAGCAAAAAATCAGACTGCATGAGGTTCTTCTTTTCCATGGAAATAAATAATTAATCCAAACATACAGGGCAACACCACTCTTTTCTTAAATCACTGTGGATTAAGTGACTGGGCCCCAGATTGCATGTGATGTAGGTACATCTCGCGTTGTCTTATAAGATACTATCTTTCCAGAAGTGGTTTTCCACCTCGGCAACGACATGGCACATTTGGCTGTTAGAATGGCGGGAGTTTCACGTGTATCGAACAGAGCTCTCTCTTTGCATTACCTTCATGGTCACCTGTACCTGTGGGAGCGGAATTTTGGTGGCGCCCTCATGGTCTGCTCTTGCTGAGATACACACATGAGTGGTCACCAATTGTTGGGATTGAACATATTAGGGTCGCTTGGGTTGTAGACAAGCTTTAAAGGCCCTTACTATGGGAAGCCAAGAGCAAAATGTTTTCTCAAGTCGAGTTATCTTCATTAGTCTGTAGCTATGGAGCTTTTACTATTTATTTGTAAGTGAGTGTAAATGCTAGTATAATTATGTAGGTATAATGGTTGTACTTCATGCGTCCTAGCGGCGCAATTTGGTTTTATTTCAAAACAACAAAACCAATGAAATCTTTTCAGGAACATAGTTCCAAAAAGGTCATAAAGGGTTCTGATACTATAAATCTAGTTTATTTTCAAACGTTGTTTAACTGTAGTTATAGCGACAGTTTTATGAAGGTTTAAGTGTCACTTTTTTTACACCTATTTTGAGCGGCGTATAAAGGTGGGTTCATAGCTCTCCGTTCTTACGTTTCCGTTTGTCCGTTAGCCAATCAGAAGACAGCAAATTTTTAAATCGTACGTCGTCCGTTTACGACGGAAAAGTTGGTTGAAATTGAACATTTACGTTTCCGTTGTTCCGTTTTTAACAAGAGTGAGGTTATGTTTGGTACGTTAACAGTGTTCGCCTATTCGTTCTTCACGGTAATAATCAGATAGCAATGTGCTCTTACTTTCGTACCATTTTTACATACTGAAAATCACGGAGGGTACAGTACAAAATAAAATTTAGGTTATGGTTATACGTTGCAAATGTACAATGTGGACGGATTGCTATGAACCTTAATAAAATGCATTATCCGTTTGACAGACCAACGCAACGGATGAACGGAGAGCTATGAACCCACCTTTAGTGTTATACTCCGGCGGCGTATAACATTTATACGCCATTCTAGTGAAAACAAAATACGCACTTAGCATTTACGTCCACGAACTTTATATTTCTATTTATCAAATCAAACCTTTTCTGAAGAAAATTCTACTTGACGTTAAAATTAAACGTGCAATTATTTAAAGTGGCATTTTGTAACATTGGGTTTGTACTGGGTTCTGAAATCTTCCCGAAATCTTTATGAATTTTCACTGTATCATGCAAAAGGATCTTGGTGACAATGTCTTCTTTATTCTATAACGATTCTTCGATAGGTACCCTGCAGCAACTGCATCAGATTTCCACCCTCCATGTTTGTGTTAAACAGGTAATATCACCTCTGCAATCTGCCAACACAGTTGAAGAAGTCCTCCTCAAGAAATGACCAGTACATTCCTTCCCATTTGGTATCTTGAAGTATATAGGACCATCTCGGTACCGTAGACGGTAGATAACTGCTTTACAAAAATCGAAAATTGTCAAGAGTACTTTAGTGAAATTGTCATTTTGAGTTATACTGTAGTCATGGATACAAAGCAATGTTATGCTGATATTATTTGCGGTACCTATTGAGTGCATCTTTACCCATTTCCTACATTATATGTAAAATGACGTTTGAAAATAAAATATAGTATTTCATTCGAAGTATAAGTTACTTTATGTGACTCGTATGAATTTAACTCGCCTCGCTACGCTCGGCGTTTAAACTTTCATACTCAGTCACATAAAGTGTAACTTATACTCCTAATAAAATAAACATCTATTTATTACATTTAGCACAGAAACACTAGATGTAAGATACGAGGTAACATATCCTATAGATGCTGTTCCCGTTACCTAAATAGTTTTGAACCTTATAATGATCTTAGGGCTCCAGCAGGACCAGCAACAACTAAAACTGACATAACACACACAAATAGAAGAAATGAATGAACTACAAAATGCAAGAGAATAATACATAAATCAAACATCCCAAATCATATAAAAATCAGGTAATCGAGTCAAAATCAGTAAAACAAATTAGTAAAAATGTGTCATAGTTAGGGGTACGTAAATTTCGTATTTACGAAATACACGCGATAAAAGCGAAATTTGCAATATATCAGCGATAAATTCGAAATTTGTACATAATTGTAATAACTGCGAAATTTAATTATCGCGCCTTGTTTTGATCACTCCAGAGAGTGGGAGAGGGAGGCGGCGCGGCGCGTGCGGTGCGACCGACTGTCCATCTGAAGCAGCGGTCGTGTCCACATCATCTTTGAATACAAGTCAAACATCGGAAAGTTTCGAGAAAATTCCATTCTTCAAAGATGTACCACAGGAAGAACTGATAGATGGGTAGGTATACTCATTTTCATCGGAAACTGCTTCAAATTGTCAGCCAAGGAACTACTGTTGATGTAATGCAGATTTTAATAGCTACAAAATTGTGCTACCCTCACTTTGCGAAAGCAGCTATTCAAAGCCTCAATAGTCCAACCAATAGTGTGGATGCGGAAAGGTATTTTAGTATGTATAACATTGTTATAAATGATCGGAGGCAACGTCTAAAAGACGATAATGTGGAGACCACTACAATGCTAGCCTTTAATTAAATTTTTTCTTGTAATTGTTTTTTTTGTTTATGCGAAATAAATGCGAAATTTTGGTTTTTCAAATTTTATAAATGCGAAATTTTGGATTTTTATTTGCGAAATTTACGTACCCCTAGTCATAGTAAATACAAATGCTAAACAGATAAATCAATTCTAAGGTCAATGTAGACTCATAAAATGATGAATTGCACATACATAAAAAAAACCATATTAAAAGGGCATGGCTCTACTACATCGGCTACCATTATTTTAACATGAAATGTACTATGTAAAAATGCCAGCAGTATTCATGTTAAAGTCAATTATCATGCAAGTAAAATCCACATACATGAAGAAAAGTTTATTAGATGATCCTCCTTATCTCACTGCTAAGACACAAATGCTGCAGTCCACACGAGATCAGATAGCACGTAACTGTATGAAGTACTTCCTCCATGGTTTTACATACAGGGCAACCTCACACTGATCTACTTCAACGTGAACACAATAATTAATAAAATAATATAAAGGCATAACAACCTGTACAGTATAATAAATAAACTTTATTCAGTAACTGTACACATAAAACAAAACATTGAGAGAACCTGGTACGTGTACACACTTTTCTTGCCATCAGAATGGAGTTACTGGCGCTCACTTTCTACCAAGCTTTTTTGGAAAATCCCTATTCTTTGACATTGTGCAGAAGGATCTCGTGAATTTACTTTCGCTGTAAAGTGGGTTGTCTATTGGTAGGGGTATGCCACCACAACCTCGTCAATTTGACAAATAGAAATTGTGTGTTTATTTGGATTAGACAAATTTTTAATAGGGGTATCACATTTTGTGAATGGGTTTGTAATATTAACAATTAGAATAAATAACGGGGTATAAGCAGAGTAAAATGTCTAATGTATGTATTTGTTTTAGATATGAATGTGAAGTGCGAGTAAGAAACATTCCACAACCAACATGTCGTCGAAGCGGTAAAAAACGAAAAGAAGAAGCTTTGGACAAAGTCAAAAATTCCACTCCGCTTAAAAAAGAAAATGTTACATCGGCAAATAATACTTCTGTAAACTGTGAATCGCCGAAGCTGAAAACGCCAACAAAGCAATTGCAGAGTAATCATGTTTCAAGTACTGTAATTGATTACGGTGGTTATTCTCCTTGGGGGTATGAGAGCAATTTATATTATAATCCCAATAATACTAACACTAACGATCATTCCTCGATACATTCTTCCGTTACTAACGATATTTATTATCAGCATAATAAATTTAGGAACGCGGAGGCGCTTCGAAATTTTGCTAGTAGAATTGACGAAAACGTTACTATGCGATCGTATAAACAACCTGAGACTGCCTTAAATTTAACATATCCACCTGATTCACGTAAGATTTACCACGAAACATCGCCTCGTTCACAACAAAATACTGCCATACGTAGGGATCACTTTCCACGCGATGATCCATCACAAAGTCATTACAGTTTAAGTACATATCACCCCTCAAGCCTGCCAGATCATAACTATACGAACGTAAATAACTACCTCCATCCTTCTAATCAAAATGTGGGTTTTAACATCAGTAAAACGCAAATTCTGCCATCTTTCAAGTATATCAAAAAATCTACCAGTCTGGGCGATCCTTTCTCAAACTACAATTTTTCTCCGGAAAACAGCACGAATTCCTCTCACTTGTACGCGCAAAATCCGTTTGACGACTCAAGTGATTTTTATCAGAACAGTTACGATTATGAGAGTTATTCGAGCTCGTGTCCATCCCCATCAAATTGGTCTTCACCTCAGACTCCTCCGAACTGGTCACCTTTCAACTGGCCCAGTAATGAGTTGCCCAAAACGAAAGTCTTAGGTCAAGTTACTGACATTATCGACAACAGTGAGTGTTTTAATGACTCGCAGGTTGGAGGCGTCGCCATCGCTCTAACGCATGGCAGTGTTTTGTTTGAATGCGCGAAGCACGAGTTGCACGCAACGACTGCTTTAAAAAATCCCAATAGAAAGTCGCCGGCTCGTATTTCTTTAGTATTCTACCAGCATAGGAATATGAATAAATCGAAACACGGTTGGGATGAACACGAGGAAAAGATGCGATTGAAAAAGTTAGACTCGTTAGGCGCAAATGAGAAACACGTAGACGAATTTCCGTTTATTTTATCGAATGATTTGACATCAAAATTCATGCGTTTAAGTGTCCCGACCATGACTACTGTATCTGTCACGACAGTATTTCCAATGTACCCTTGTATGGTTACAGGTCCATACCAAGAGGGCGTTAGAGGATAACGTTTGCTAATCTATTTATTCAACGATTTTGCCTAACATAACCTGAGAGATTTGCAGATTCGACCAGACGAGCTAATATGCAAGTTCCTTTTATATGTAAATATCGAGGACTATTTACATTTAGGACGCTAAATTTGTATGTACTTACTGTTACGGTTCCCATTTTTTATTGTGATTATTTTACAAAATGACAAAATTGTGTATTAGCCTCGACCTGCAACTCTTACCTCCTTGATATGACAAAATTATTTGGAGATATTACATCTTGCAAAGCATTTCGTGCGATTGCCTATGGAATTTGTCCAACAATAGTGCCTATATGATCTCAGAGCCAGTTTCCGAATACAACAAACAGTACAAAGCTACAATTCCATACTAACACATTAACATTTGCGTATATATATATTGACTGATAAAGTCAAAAGTCATGTAGGTTGTACGATTTAGTGCGTAGCTCTTATTTAACAGTAGGTATTTATTAGTTAATTTATGTTTAGATAGTTGAATCATTTATAGTTGATTTTAAAGAAGGCATTTTATTATTTGAATTATTGTTTTATAGACTTTATATTTGTATCTATCCGATACAAAGTGGTGTTCATTTATGTATGTATAGCGTACTGACAAAGCTAATATAAATTTTTAATTATTTTTAAGGTAAAACGTTCTCGAACCTGTTTTAAAAGTTCACGATATCCCATTTCAGTGGTATTTTTAAGTTTATTTGCAACCACTCTAAAGAAATAGGTTTTTTGTTCATACAAATCGTTGAATAACTGATTTAAATGAGGCAATAGTGCTTACTGTTGCAATCTACATTTGTTTTTAATCATTTACAGTTTTCTACATGTGGATAACTAAATATTGGTTCAGACGCTGCAGAAAAAATGTAGATGATCGATGTCACATGCAGGTTACCAACTTTAGGCGTTTTAGTGAACAATCGGAACCCTTTTCCAAAATTTTGCTTCAATTTTTAATATCGATTTTATTTTTCACCGTTTTTATGGATAACAATGCTGCATATTTACTGAAATGATACCTACCAAAAATGAAAAACCAAATATTTATTGCGTAATAATAATAATTTGAAAGAAGATATATAACACATATACCTCTAACGTATATATTAAATATCTAAAGTATTTTTTTAAAACTACCTTAACAATTGTGCCATTAAAATTAACAAAAAAATCGTGTAAGAAATTTACTCATACGTTGAAATTTATCATTCTGTGTTACTGTTAAATCTCAAGTTGAAAAAGTTGCAGCATTTTATCTGTGCTCACCTCGAAACTCTTTGTTTATAAAATTGCAAATTATAATATTAAATGTTGTAAATAAGGTTTTGTATACTCACATTTTAGAATAATAAATTTCATTCCAAGACAGTGAGTTGCTGAAGTTGTAAAAATGATCAAAAATAAAACGGCTGTAGTTGTACAGTGTCACACGTGACTAATAACCATGATCAAATATTACAGTACTTCTAGTATTTTTATATTGTTTCACAAAATATAGAAATATATAATATAGTAAATGCAATAGACTTTTATAAGCTTCGCTTCTTGCTGTATAGACTTTTTGTATGTGACTCAAATTACTAATATTTTAATGGTGTGGAAAAGAATTCCTGTTGAAATTTTTATAAAGTTTATTTTAGAAACAAATTATCGCAGTGCATATCGATACGGATGTATATACATATATTTATTTTTTAAAGTTTCTAAACAAGATACGAATTTTAGTACTTTTTTAATTAAACTTGTTGGAAACAAACAGCACGATCGATAAATTACGATGGCGGATTTTCATTGCGATAATTTGTTTTTGATAAAATATTTAGCTGTGCATATTTATTATTGTGTGTTTATAATGATAGGGTTGTCCCTCTGTAGTCTAAAAATATATTTTTGACAAAGCAAGATAAATATTTATAGTATTCTTGATACGCCTATCGAATACATAATTGTAAAGTATTAGTCATGTCTCGGTTAAGATAAAGGATTTTAACTTTAAAACACACTTTAGTGTTTGATGCCAAAAATTTAATTAAGATGGTCGAAGTTGTACATTGTCATTATTTTCTCTTCCATTCATTCTAACTGGCAGCCACATGCTCTTTTCACACTGAACCCTTTTCATATATTTATACGGAAGTACTTCATAGTATTTTAGTATTTAGCATATGCACTTGTTTCAATAACAGTTCTTAGACAGATTCTATTTTCTCGTAGTCTTCACTAAATTGTGTCTTAAAAACTGTTTACGAAATCACTCCAGTTTTGTTAAAAATCTTATTACTTGTGGAATATGTGATCAATGACATATCATCATATTGTTTGTAGAGCGCTTTTTGGATTATGAAATTGTGGCTGTTAATGATTTTTAAATTTGAAGTTACCAAAAGAAGAAACAATCATTCGTTCAGTTACCATCTTTTCTCGTTATCCTTTTTCTTACGACGATTTTTAACAAAACTACTATCACTATACCAAATATGTTAGATTAGACTATTTGATTGTAAATATTTTTTTACATAAGTTTAAGAGGTGTTCCATTGAAAAGAAAATGCAATGACGTTTGTGTATTATGAAAGTAATGAAAAGACTTTTATTATAATAGGGTATCGTGCATTCTAAAACAATCACGCATTGTAAATCTCATCATTTGCATCCATTTATATCTAGCAATATTCATACTTTGGAATCTACTAGTAATAACCTGGTACCCTATAAATATAAAAATTATGAACCAAAAGAATACAATCTTTTGAGTAATATGTAATTTCTAGTTTTAGAATTTTTTTAGTTTAGTATTAAGTAAACAAAATACGTGTATTGTCTTGTGAATACTATTTAATATATAAACATACTTTTAAATGTGTTTTATTTTAATAATCCTTCAAATTTTGGATCATCGATACATCATCATCCTTGTTCGAGTTTATCTGGAAAAGTCCAGTGTATTTTTGACATGTGCGCCAGTAAGCTAATTATCCTGAAATGGTCGCATTTTTCTCTGCTTTTTTCGGGATCATAATCAATCTACTTTTTGAAAGTCGTCCAGCATCTGCCCTGTCTCGTATATACTATTTGTTAGTTTAAAGAGCCTATCCTGCACTTTTGTTCCCTAGTGTTTTATTAACTCTTCTGATACTGCATCTGCTCCTGTTCCTTTTTTTTTCTACTCCTAACCTAACATCTCCAGCTACCTTCCTCAGTCCTGAACTAATCTCTGACCAAACGTCCTCCACTTTGTTCATTTCTCTGCTATTACCTCCATCATTTTGTCGCTTTTGACCTTAAACCTATCTAGAAATTCTGGCACTTTTAACTTGTTTAAGTCTACCCTGTCTTCTTTCTTAGCTTTGGCGATCTTTTTAAACTTAAACCTGCTATATTCATCACAGCTAAATTGTGGTCACTAGCTATGTCCGCACGTGGTAGTTTTTAATTAGGTACCTGGTTTCTAAATCTCTCTTTTACTAAAATGTAGTCTATTTGATATCTACCTATATCTCCCGGGATTATCCACGTCCTACGCCTATGGTTGTTAGTGATAGCACAGATGTTTAATCAGTGGTGATAGCTAATCTGTATGCTTAGCGCAAAATTGTATTAACCGGACCCCCCTCTCAGTTCTGTTTCCTAAACGCCCGTAATTAATTCCCTTTAACGCGCTTTCTAGCTCTTCGTATACCTGCTTTATCTCTTTATCTTCTGTCCAGAAGTTGGTATATAAACCTGAACCGCTATCGTGGCGTAGGGTTTGTTTTCTATTCGAACTACAATACTATCACTATCCTGCCGCCTTTAATTATACTGCCTACTTTTTGTTTAGCACATAACCCTTCCTCTGTGTGACCATTCTTTGTACCTGAGTGTACCACCCTATACTCTCCTGACCAAAAGTCTCCCTGTTCTTTCCACTTTAATTGCAATTACCTCCACAATATCGAAATCTACTCTTATCATCTCCCTTTTTAAGTTTTATAATCCACCTACCCTCCGTAAAATCTTTCATTTCATGCTCCAACTCTCAGAAGCTCCTTCCGGACCATTGGTTCTACCCACCTGGGTTCCTCTTTTTTTTAATTAGGACATTTCCATTGTAAAGGTGTGGAAGCTGCGTTTCCTGGGGAAAGATTTGGTGGTGGTTTCCCGTGGCCTTCCACCTAGCCCAGTCAGTATGTTTGTCTAGGTTACTACCCGTCCGCCCGCGGTCCCGCCCCCCGATCCGAATTCTGGGGGCCGCTATGGGCGCATGTTACCCTTGCTCGCATTTCTCCCCAGATGAGGCACATACAATACGCGTAGACTGGCATACCGAAATGTGAGTGTTTGCTTGAGTTGGGCCCCGTGGTCCACAAAACGCTCACCAGCCAGATATTATATCTTCCCTAATGTAGTCTTTTGTGCCACCCCGTAACTCAATTCCGCTTATTTTGCTACCTCATTACGAGCAATCGAACCGGAGGCTGTCTGATTATTAAATTCGCGACCATAGACCTATGTTCGCGACCTCTCTCTGGATACGCGGTTGCGCACGTATGCATCCATATACAGGGTGACAATTTGAAAACTTACCACCTCCCATATCTTAGTAAATAAACGAGATATTTAAAAAAATCAAAATCCGTTTCGGTAAGTCGAAGGGGGAATCACAATGACATAGTTGGCGACGCACCCCCTCCAACCCCCTGCGCCCCAGCCACCCCAACTTTTAAATCTTAAATAGTGACCCCCCATGTGTGATACGTCGTTGGAAAGCTCTGAAAAAATGCTTTCCAACCATACCAAATAGCATTACATTTAGGTTAGTAATTATCGTGCAAATCAAAAAATAAACTAATATGATACATTTGAAATCTGTCATTTTTACAACGCAACCGGCGAACATAGACGAACTAAGACAGAGAATAATTCAAGAATATCGAAATATTGCAAAACCAACATTGGAAAGGTTCGACAAGAGTTTGAGAATAGATTATAACTGGCGATCAAAAATGAGTTGCTGTCGAGTCGGCTTTGGAAGTTCAAGTTAAATACGATTTTCCATGTTTATTTTTTGATTTGCACGATAATTACTAACCTAAATGTAATGCTATTTGGTATGGTTGGAAAGCATTTTTTCAGAGCTTTCCAATGACGTATCACACATGGGGAGTCACTATTTAAGATTTAAAAGTTGGGGTGGCTAGGGCGCAGGGGGTGTGAGGGGGTGCGTCGCCAACTATGTCATTGTGATTCCCCCTCCGAATTACCGAAACGGATTTTGATTTTTTTGAATATCTCGTTTATTTACTAAGATATGGGGGGTGGTAAGTTTTCAAATTGTCACCCTGTATAATTAAACTGCGTGTCCTCTCATCGCGGTTTTCACCGGTTTTGAATTAAACAATAAACACACACTATTCGCCTTTCAACAACAACACGAGAAAAAAACAAAACAAAAATACGCCGGAGTTCCGTTAACACGTCTACTCTGCTCGCCTTCTGCCGACCTTGCGAATTTGACTTAGTAATAATAAATTGATAATTTTTGGGATTACGCCATTACCTACAACTTTTTTTAATATTCTTTCATGAAAACAATAACATTTGAAAATGAACGTTCCGGACCAAGTTAGTGTATCTTATAAAAAATTCGATTATAAACAAATTCATCCCTATTCAGTCCCTTCCTCAGAGCAAAGATATATTCGATTTCAAATACGAAAAAAACGACATTTTCGCATTTTTTCTTCGTTTTCCGTCTATAACAACATGTTCCGGGAGTTTCCGGCTAGGGGGAGTAACTAGTAACTAACAACATATTTACCGTTACTGTTCCATTTACCATTGTTTAAATACTTTAAACCAGAGGTGCCCAAACCTTTGTATCGTTTGATCTACTCTGCACAAGTAAGATCCTTCGCTATCTGCCAGCTACTTCTACTATGGAAAAAGGTTTTTGTTGTTAGGATGATGTGTAATTGAGTTTTCATTTTACTTTAGACTTAGTCCGTCGTATTTCTGATGTTGGTGGGCACTTTTTTTACAGTGCCGATCCTAGCGTAGTGGCCGCCTGCGTGGTAAACCAGTTGTCCGCCGCCTTTAGAATTGCGACACTATGGGGGGGGGGGGGATGCATAAAGTTTATAATTTTATTTTACATGGTAATAATAGAGAAAGTGTGGTGTCACACTATGCGTTTTTACCGCTCCCGCTAAAACGGATGCGGTTTGACAGGATGAGATCTACTTGTCACACTATTCCGGTTTAAAGGGATGCGTTTTTGCTATATTTTGGCAGTCTAAGTAGTGGCATGTCTCAATTATTGTTAAAGATGGTTTATGCGCTTGAGGCGGAAGGGCTATTGCGAAATATTGTCAATATTGGATTGATCCTTTTAATTCAGGACGAGAATCTAATAATAGGTTCGCGAAGTTTTATGAAAAAATTCGAATGAACAAGAAAAAAATTTTTGTATATTACCGAATGTCCAAAAATTCAATTTCTACCCATGATTTCCCTACAGTTTTTATCTACATACTCTTTAGATTGTTTTTCCCACAGTGCAGTTTTTGCATGCACGCACTCGATGAATAAACCGACATCAAACATTGTAAACCTAACAAAACACCCGGTTGCAACGCTCAGTGTGACAACTGATGACAACCAACGTGCAACAACACGTGGTTTCATGTCATTGGGGTTGTCATGTCATCCTGCGCAGCGGCAGCAGGATGCGGTTGCATCCGGTTGGTGCGGCGAAAACGCATATATGTGACTGGTACCATTTAATAACGTGTGATATTATCATCCCGTCAAACAGGAGCGTTTTAGCGGGAGCGGTAAAAACGCATAGTGTGACACCACACAAATACAGAATTAGAAACGCACTTTCCGAGCCTTCAACTGTGCCAATTGTTTGATAATCTCAGTTACCTACTTCAATTTTGTCTGACATTTCATGTTCTATAGAAATCATGGCCAAATGTGACAAACGGTTTTGAGACATTGTCGATCTCAAAAAATTTTTATCAGTTTTCATTTTGAAAACGATCTCTCTGCAGATGCAACGGAAACGGGTAAAGTCAGTAAAATTCTTAGACCTATTGTTACATTAGGAAAGGAGCCACTCAAACTATTTTCGCAAATATAGTTTAAAATTTCCAGTGGTTACACTTGATGGTTTGCTGTCCGGTTACAAAGAGCTTCAAAGACTCGAGTTCTTCGCATAACTCTTGTGAATCAAATATCCGACTCGCCTGTCCTTGGATCTTGTAAATATTCCTGCAAAACCAACGATTTCTCCTTGATCGCTTCATTAGATAATTCGACAAAGTCGAAAAGTACACTGAATTTTTCCAATTGTTGATGTAATGTATCAAATCGTTCCTCCATGGAACCTATGGCTTTATCAATTAAGACATAATAAAAGTTGGTTCTAAAGTTGGCTTTGGGATCTAATACCGGTTCATCCTGACATTCGTAATCGAACTGACGCTTCTTTTTTCGTTGTCGTACAGTTCTTATATCTGGAAATTCCAAATTTTCCAATTCCACATCGGTTGCTAAATTTTTGGCACACTCTACATAATTTTCGAAACTGTCTTCAGATCTTAGGGATTTGAAATATTCTGAACCACATTTTGAACATTTAATTTTGAACCTTGTAATGTCTTACTAACGATTTTGTATTTTGGCCGCCTCTAGGAGCGGCCGCCTGCGTGTTTGACACGCTTTACCCCCCGGTAAGATCGGCCCAGGGCACTTATTTCTGATTGTGATGGAAAGTTGCATATTTTTTATGTACACTCAAAAAATGTCTCTTCAGATTACCTACCTTTTTACCACCCGCACATTAGTACAGGGATATAGTGCATTGGGGTTAA